CCCCCCCCACCCATTCGGTGCACGTTCGACAGCGTCAACACACTTTCTTTGGTAGAACGAGTTTTACTCGTCGATTGGGTTGCCGATTTTGATATCGGTGAATCCGTACAAGCCATTGCCGCATTTGTACGACAATGCGACGAGGCTGAAGTACCTGTGCGCGTCCTTTGACTCGGGCGCGGTGTCTGCGGCTCCGCTAACGTCGGTGCGTGGACCTGAGGCGACTCCTGAGACGACCCCAGCGTTAAGCGATCAGAAGTTGTTCATCGATCGACCGCATCTGTTTGGGACAGCTCAGATGACGTTTGCAGCCTTGGTCCGTAACAAGCAGGCGCAGAGCATCGTGATTTCCGGTGAGTCGGGCGCCGGCAAAACGGAGGCGACGAAGATTCTGCTGCGGTACTTCAGCGAACTAGACCACGGCCGAGACGGTCCCGGTCCAGGACCGGGTCCGGGTCCAGGCTGCATTGAGACATATATCCTCAACTCCAACCCGATACTGGAGTCGTTCGGTAACGCCAAGACCCTGCGCAATGACAATAGCTCGCGATTCGGCCGCTTCATACAACTCTTCTTCGACGTTGAGAACCAACGCCGCATCAAGTACGCTCGCATCAGCCACTACCTGCTCGAGAAGTGTAGACTCGTCTCGCTCTACGAAAAGGAACGAAACTTTCACATCTTCTACCAACTCGTCTTCGGTGGTGTTAATCATGCACACTTCAAACAAAAACTCGAGCACTGGGGCCTCCACGAACCCCGCAAGTTCAAAGCCATCCTCGGCGACGAACGTCTCTACGACCTAGTTGAAGGAATGCACAGCCCGCAAACCGCTCAGTCTCACAACTCTGGCGCACGCCTTTTCAGCTCCCAGGCCGCCGACGACGCCGCTTCACTCCTCCAGCCCTGGCAGTCCGGCAGCATGTGGTCCAACTCCTCGCAGGACTGGACCGAAGCTAACGAGTGGCTTGAAAGCTGGGGCATCATGTTCGACGAACTCCTTGAATCAATGGCCGGCATCGGCTTCACCGAATTCGACGTCGACGAAATTTTCGGCGTCGTCGCCGGCATCATGCATCTCAGCCGCGTACGCTTCACCTCCGTCGACATTCCGCCACAAGCCACCTACATCGACGGCATGCCGCTCACCAAAATCGAGGATTACGAGCCCCTCGAATTCGCCTGCAGACTTCTGCAGCTCAAAAACATACCCTCCATCATTCCCGCAGATATCAATGATCCCGTGGCAGCCACCGCTGACGTATTGCTCTTCAAGTCCATCCGAAACAACCAGGGACAAGGCTACTGGATTAGGACCCCGCGGGATCCTGTACACGCTGCACACACCAGAGACTCCATCGTGAAGGAGATCTACTCCAGACTGTTTGACTGGATCATAAAGAAAATTAATCTGCGACTCACGGCGACGCCGGTGGCGAGCGTCGGTCAGACTCGTGAGGCGCACAACCGCGAAGTGCTGGCGCACGGTGCGACGCACGGGCTTCGTGAGTCGCACAGTGTGTACCGTCAGCAGCGCAAGTCTAGTGCTATAACGACGATCCGCAACTCGACTCCGCCGATTGGGTTGTTGGACATTTACGGCTTCGAGGTGTTTGACGGGCGGAATTCGTTCGAGCAGTTGTGCATCAACTTTGCGAACGAGAAGTTGCAGCAGCACTTCAACCAGCACGTGTTGGCGTTGGAGCAGGCGACGTACAGGAAGGAGGCGATTGACTGGTCGGACATTTTGTTTACGGACAACCGCGAGATCATTCGTGCGTTGGAGGAGCCGCCGCACGGCGTGTTTGTGATCCTGGACGACACGCGGATTACGGACCAGCGCGTGGAGCAGCCGGGGCGTGGGGGGATGGAGCGTGCGTCTTCGAGTGGAGGCGAGTTCCGTGGCGGCGGGAACTACCACCACCACGACATGATGTTTTTGCGTGAGATTGACCGCCGCGGTCTGAAGCCAGTGGTGGCGCTGCCGGATCGGAAGCAGTTCCGCGACACGATTTTCACAGTGAAGCATTACGCGGGTGTGGTGGACTACTGCTGTCTGGGTTTTGTGGAGAAGAATGTGGACAAGTTGGAGGCGCAGAGTTGCTACTTTTTGTCCAAAGCCAGCCGGCACGCGTTGGTGCGGGAGCTCTTTCCCCACGACCAGGCTGAAGATATGGCTGTGAAACGAAACTCGCTCAAGGCGACGCTGGGCGTAGAGTTCCGCAACCAATTGGACAGGCTGTTGAAGTCCCTAACCTCGACCACGCCAACATATATTCGGTGCATCAAACCCAATGGATTGAAGCAGGCGGGACTTTTCAACTCGCATGACGTGCTGCGTCAACTGGAGTACGCCGGGTTGTTGGAGAGCATCCGGATCCGTAATAGCGGTTTCGGCGTGCGTTGCACGTTCCAGGAGTTCCTGGACGACTATCTTATTACGCTTCCGCACGAATACCAGTTGTGGCTGAAGACGGGGAAACACAACCAGGAGAAGGCGAAGGAGTTGTGCACGAAGCTGCTCACGCTCGCCGCCGGGCAGAAGAGCGCTGCACGCTCGGACGCCGAGGACAGCCGGCGGCACTGGCAAATAGGGCGCACCAAAATCTTCATGCGCGAAGAAGTGCAGGTCTACCTCGAACAGGCGCGCTCCGCGAAGCGTCTGCAAAGCGCGATCAAAATTCAAGCACACGTGCGCGCCTTCCGCCAACGCGAGCGCTGGCGACGACTCCGTCGGCGCATCATACGCGTCCAGGCGTGTGCGCGCGGCGTAGCCACACGCATCCGACTCGCGCGCGAACGAGCGGCGCAAGTCATCCAGCGCTACTGGCGTTGCACGCGGCCCACGCGCCGCTGGTACCTGCACACGAAACACAAGCTGCGCTTCCTACAGACCT